GACAACTGTGTGTGTGTGTGTGTGTGTGTGTGTGTGTATTACACAGGTAGATACAGATAAATGAGAGATACAGATAGATGAAAGATATATATCTCTATATGAAATATTTAGGTGACATTTGATCACTGTTTGATCCAAATGCCATCTAGTCAGAACTTGATATTATTCTTAGCTGGGAATAGTAAGATATTCTATATTCTGAAATAATTGGTAGCATAAAGGATTATTGACCTCAATGCTAATTGTAACATCCTAGAGAGTTGTTGAAATTTGTCTTTGTCTTTGTAGGTAACTTTCCTTGAAGAAGTTACTGAGTATTATATAAGTGGTGATGAGGATCGCAAAGGACCATGGGAAGAATTTGCAAGAGATGGATGCAGGTTCCAGAAACGAATTCAAGAAACAGAAGATGCTATTGGATATTGCTTGACATTTGAGCACAGAGAAAGAATGTTTAATAGACTCCAGGGAAAATGCTTCAAAGGACTTCATGTTTTCAAGCAATGTTAAGATGAGTTGACAGCCTAGCATACACTACCTCTTACCTGAGAGGTGTCTTTTAAAAACAAATCTTGGCAGCTGGCCTTTGACATTTTTGTTTGTTTGTTTTAGAGGAAATATAACTTGGATCTAGTTTAATTTTTTTTTTTTTTTTTTTGCAAATATCCCACTCCGAAACATTCAGGTTTGAAGTCAGCCCTGATAATGAAGGATTAACTAGCATTTCTAATCTTCCCTTTTTGGATTTAGTAGGATGTGCTTTTAAATGTCCTTTGCTTGCTTGAGTGAAAAGGGGACCTTTTTGAGTTATCATTTTGCACTTTCAAAACTTATTTTCTTGGAAAACGATATTTATAAGGCTTAAAACCCGTTTTCATTTCTAATCTAAATTATGTATGCCTGTCTGAAAACTTTGGGCTCTTTTTTTGTTTCTTTCCCCAAATTCAGAAGTTAATGGGCTTTGATGTTTTTCTATATATTTTTTTTTATTTCAATGATTTGGCCTATCTACCGTAGGCTAAAAAAATAACCTTGTGTATGCTACCAACTTAAAGTACATTATTTAGTGTCACTATTTTTTTTTCTTGTAAAAATGACTTGGGTTGAAAATATATTAAGTTCTACCTAGGAAATTTCCAAGGACTGCCACAAAACTGGAATGTGCAGTACTTTACTACTTTGGGAAAGCTTCATCTTTCTACCAAATTTTAACATCTAATGTATTTAATTTCTTTGTAAACTGTTCTTTAGAGAGGGTTCTGTATATGTTTTTGTAGTTCCCAATTTAATATAGTTCTTTGTATCTCTTAACAGGTTGAAGTTGTTGCAGAACGCTCTGGAAAGTAATAGTTACATCACAAGCATTTATTTTTTAAGCTTAAAAGCCTAGAATTTTCCTAGGAAGAAAATAGGAGACATCTCAGAGTAATTTGATTTTGGTATATATGCTCTCAACAGAAAGCCAGTGTTAATGAATAGCATGCCTCAGCACAGTCACTTTGAAAACTGTCAGGACGTCACTGTAAAATTGGAAATGGGCAGTTCTGAATTTTCACATTTGAAATGCAAAATATAAACTTCAGTCAATATCCAGGTTTATTGTGTCCTATTTAATAATGAGAGAAGTAACAGCAAGGCTTTACTTTCAGGAAAGAAGTATAGATTAATGACTAGACAGTCTTAATATGTTTAGCCCAAAGTTTCCTTTGAAGCCTTTGCATTGACTGGTTGTGTTTGGTTTATTTGTTTAGCTTTACAAAGTACGCACGAGTTAGGTTGAGGGATTGTTAACCAACTCTTCAGTGGACTGCTTTCACTCCATGTGCTTCCTATCAGGGAAAACACAAGTAGAATAGGTGACCTCTTAGTTTTGAACTTACTTTAAGTGTGGGGATGAATTTTTCATCAGAAGTGCTCACAGGGTTACTACCTCAGTTTACAATCTACCTGGTCATTATTTCTATCTGGTTTGTTCTAAGAACTGCCTCTAGTGTTTATATATTCATACTTAAACACATTGAGAATGCAACATCATAAAAGTTGGTCAGAGTTTTGCAGAGCCCTTACTCTGTGTGTTTTGTGCACCTCCACTTCAGGTAATGATAGGGAGCACCTTTACAGGCTGGTCTAATAACATGAAAACAGGCTAGTGTCAAGCACCAACTATGTCAATTGGAAAGCAGGCATCATTTGCCTTGAAAAAAGCTTTTTGACAGCATGTAGGCATTCTTTTAAAACCAAGCTGAAGCATTTTATTTCCGAGACTTATGTTGTGTTTCCTGTTTCTGAAACCTAGCACCTCTGTGTATTTGAAAATAATGAGACATCTTTCATTGGATTTTGGGAGATTGTTCTCATGGGATTCTAACCTCACTACTAAATGACTAAAAGCTTGATTAAGAATTCTTCCATATACTACCCTCCTTTAGGAGAAGTGATCAGAAGGTGAGAAGGACAGAAGGGACGGTTTTACAGTTAGACTGAAGGAGAAAAAAGCTGAATTCTTGTTAGTTTCATCCCAATTCTAGTTGTTAGAACAAAGTTAAACCCCCATAAGCTTACAGAGAAAATCCTTGGAGGTTTTAATTAAACATTTTACACATTTATAATCTTGTTAATGGTGCTTTAAGTGTCAATGTAGCATGTAAAAGGCTTTGTACAGACAGGTAAAAGTTCCATTTCTGAGTGATGAAATGTGGTAACACTTCTTCTTTAACTTGAAATCAAAACTACCAAGATTTTATTTTTGTATAATTTAAGGAAGGTAAAGTTAGGGAACTAGAAGACTAAATTGGCTTCTACAGATCAATGATTTAAATGTAACTGGTTTGTTGGGTTTTATAGTTAAAATTATATTTGTGTATATAACATAACTAATCTGTAAGTTGTAATAAAAATATTTGCAATTATTAAATGTTAAATGATACTTTGGTTCAACTTTATATGTATCATAGTATTTTACATTGGTTTTGGAATTACTAATCAGGATTAATATAATTGGAAACAACACTTTAGTAATAGAAGAATTTGGTTCTTGAAGTGTTGTGAGAGGCCCTTCTGAGAGACTGAAGATTTGATTCTGAAATTGGCCCCAGCTTTTCAGCTCTGCTGCAAAGAAAATAAACAGAAGCAATAACATTCAGATGCTGGGCTCAGCCAGTGGTTTAGCAGGGAAATCACTTATTTTGTGCATTATTAGTCATGTTAATCATGGTATTGTAAAATCATGATGATCTCTCATTTACAAAAATGGGACAGCTATGGTGGATCATGCCTATAATTCCAGCACTTTGGGAGGCTGAGGTGGGAGGATTGCTTCAGGCCCAGAGTTCAAGACCAGCTTGAGCAACAGTGAGACCCTTTCCTCTACAAAATAAAAAAAAAAGAAAAAAGCCCATGGTGGCGCACACCTGTGGTCCTAGCCTATGGGCTCAGTTACCTCGGAAGCTGAGCAAGCAGGACGGTTGCCTGAGCACAGAAATTCAAACCTGCAGTGAGCTATGGTTATACCACTGCACTCCAGCCTGAGTGATAGTCTCAAAAAATAAAGTCAGATGGAATTGTGCTTTAATATTAAATACACGGATCATTGAGACTGTCTCAAAAGAAAGAAAATAAATGTTATAATACCAGAAACAAATTTTTACTCTGGATAAAAAAAGCATTTGGAGGCCGGGTGCAGTGGCTCACGCCTGTAATCCCAGCACTTTGGGAGGCCGAAGAGGGTGGATCACGAGGTCTAGAGATGGAGACCATCCTGGTCAACATGGTGAAACCCCATCTCTACTAAAAAAAAAAAATATGCAAAAATTAGCTGGGCGTGATGGCGTGAGCCTGTAGATCCAGCTACTTGGGAGGCTGAGGCAGGAGAATTGCTTGAGCTCAGGAGGCGGAGGTTGCGGTGAGCCGAGATCAAGCCATTGCACTCCAGCCTGGGTAACGAGCAAAACTCTCTCTCAAAAAAAAAGCATTTGGGTTATGGCAGCCCTATTAATGGATTAAAGAATAATAGCACTCTGAATAGAAATACTTTCATCTTCCCCGTTAATGAAGAAAAGTTATTAAAGGTTTATTTCTGAACTGGAAGGAAAGAAACTAACATTGAGTTGCAGTTAAACAATATTTAGTATAAAATGAGTTGACATCCGGGTTATTTTATTTCTATCCTGGGGTTAATTGAAGCATATCTGCCATTCCCCAGTAATATACATGAAAATACCCACATTTACATTAAGCCAGATTTACTGCTATGCTTATCCTGGT